TAGTGCCGAAATGAATACAGGAATTAGGCAGTTATGGCTAATGTTGTATTCCTTATCGCGTTGTGGGTGTTGTTTGTATGTGCGTGTTCTCTGTCTCCCTCTTTCGTTCTTTCTCTTCTCTCTCTCTCTCTTTACACACACACACATACACACACACACATATATATATATATGATTTAATAGGTCGACATAATATATACTTACCGAAACTCAAAACCGAAATTCGTTTCAGTCGTTTTGCCTGCGAGCACTCCAGCCCCCCCCCCCCCCCAACAGGAACAAGGTCCCCGAAACTCTTTCCCGAAGTAACCAATATTGATCAGGAGCGAAGGTGATGCCGCGTCGAGGGGCAATAATGGGTTCCATCACGCAGGACGTCTTCTACCTGGAGTGCTTCTGCTCAAGTGGAACGGCGAGGAAGGCCCAGCAGATGCTATAGGAAACGCGTTCATCAGTATCATTTGTGAACTATCAACTATGAAACTATGCCGGATTCGATGTTCATGAAGCAATAGGCTTTTAAAGCAAAATAAAAACGTCAAGTCCGTATCCGCAACAGACCACGAGTCACAATGTAAGCATTCGGATCCTCCACAGGACGGAAATTCCAGGCAGAAAACAATGGAAATCAGCAATGCATAGAAAGTAGATTATGTGAATTCATTGGCTTCGATTCTGAGCTACGTTGGGCCATGATGACTCGCCTGCTTTGTTGGAAGGCGTTCATGCATCTGCGATTCGAAGCCTCGTTACGAGTCACCTTCTGTTGATTGGTAGGTTGAGGAAAGACACCAGGTGGCTCCTGTCGGGCCTGGAAGACTGAGGAGCCTGACAAACAACCATTGTATAAGATGACAAACTGCCTGTGCGAAATTAGAACAAGGGTCTTTGTAAACTATAATGGAGCTGCGCCATTCTGTTTTACACGTATCTTTGGGTTTCGACATCAAAGACTGGTCTAATCAAAAGCATCATCGGCAAACGTGATAGTTCAAAGGACTGATTTCTTGGATTCAAGAAATATATATGGCTGCTGAAAGGAAATGTCTGTCTACTCATATGTTGAATTCCAGGTAAGGAACGTCAGTAAGACTTCCATGGTGACACTGGATATTTAGATTTACATGAGGAAATCTCTCTCTCTTTCTCTGCCTCCTTGTTTCCCCACCTTCCTACCTCTCTCAGTTACTTTGTATCTCCTTTTCTCTCTCTATCCATCCATCCTTCCTTCCCTCCATCTATCTTTCTATCTATCTATTTATCTCCTTCGCTCTCCCCCCGCTCTCTCTCTCTCTCTCTCTCTCTCTCTCTCTCTCTCTCTCTCTCTCTCTCTCTCTCTCTCTCTCTCTCTCTCTCTCTCTCTCTCCCTCCCCCTCCCTCCCGCGCCGCGCATCCATCAGGGCGTCCCAACCCCGCCGAGACAATGCCGACGCCGCAGCAGCAGGACGCTGACCGTCGGGGCAAGTGAATGATGTACGAATATTCCCTTCTCGTGACCCTCCCTCTCCCTCCCTTCTTTTGGCCCTCCCTCTCCCTTCCTCTCCCTCCCTCTCCCTCCGCCCAGGTCAGCCGAGAGGGGCGGCTTTGTCACGCCCCGGATACGACGCGGCAGGAGACGAGAGGACTGCGGAGTGTTATCAAACGGCCGAGGAAAAGCATGTTGTTGGGGAGGAGACAATGGGAAGGCGGGAGGAAGCGGGATTCTGAAAGCCATTTAGTGTCTCGACACGGCAGTGGGTGTATGAAATCTAGATGTATTTTCGCCAAAATGGGAGTATAATAATGATAAGGATAATAAAGATCAAATAAAATCTGCAAACAAATCTCGGGGAAATTGGTCGTGTCCGCGAGCGCCGCTTCTTCGCGAAACCGAACACCAGAAGAAAACGTTTGGGTTCCGTCGCCACCGATCATGGGCTCCGCATTATGCTTTCGCCGCGGGCACAAAGGGGCCGGGCAATTTCCGTCGCCCGGTGCCCATTCAGCCATCGAATACCAGACTAACCTGTCCTTTTGTGCCACAATGAAACACGCATTCAGCGCCGCAGCCACGGGGAAGGCCAATCCTCGCTCGACACATGATTCCGCCAGAATGTTTCCACGCTGCGCTCGCTCCCGCGCCGCGCGATCCGGGCCTCGTCGTCGCCAGGGTTCCTCCGACGCCGCGGTTCGGGCTCCTCATCAGCCTCTCTTCCTCTCCTCTCCTAGTTCTCTTCCTTATTCTGCGATTCCCGCTCTCTTCCTTCCTACCGCGTTTTTGTATGCCCCTCTCAGTTCTCTGTCTGGCTCTCCTCTCCTCTCTCTCTCTCTCTATCTCTGTCTGGCTATCTATTTATCAATCTCTCTCTCTCCTCCCTCTCCTTCTATCAATCTCTCTCTCCCTCCCTCCCTCTCTCTCTCTCTCCTCCTCTCTCCTCTTCTTTTTTCTCTCTGTCTGTCCCTCTATTATCTATATCTATCTATCTATTTATCATCTATCTATCTATTTCTATCTACCTCT